TTTTCACATACCTAAGCAGTTCACAGTTGCAGCATGTTATCTTACCATTCAAATTCACTTGGGCTTGAATTTCATTTGAACAGTTGCTGAATAACAACAGGCAGAGTGGGTACACTTGGTCAACTCACCGCTAAAAGCTGTCTGACCAACATGTCAGACGCCTTTTCAGAGATGTTCCCTACAAATACAGTGGTGGTGGGGCCACCGCTGTCCTCGGCTCTGATGTTGCCAGGCTCCTTCTTTGGAGCCATCGGCTTCTGTGCTACAGCAATTGTAGTCGGGACAAGAACCTGCAACATCAAATTACATTTACAATTATCCAAAGCAACAAAGGCAAATAATACGCAAATATTACAAGAATGCCTCAGTTGAGCAGCAAACTTGCAGTAGGAACTCAAGTTTCTAACTCACTGTGGGTGTGGGGGCCACTACACCCATATGAACCGGTATCATGGGAGTACCTGAAAATACAAACAAAATATATTAACAATAAAACTGAGTACTGAGGCATACAACTACACACAAACACAGACAATATGACATCATTGTGCATGTGATTACCCAAGGAACTTATCCTCAAGGTTTTCAATTATAATATATATAGGCATTTCTGTATAATTCTCCATCACCATTTCTAGATACATATCACTAAAACCTTCTGGGTTTATTTGCTCGTTTCGTTTCTAGCTTTAACAACAGTAACCCTATGTTGGATGACAGTATCTTCTTTTCTTAAAGGTTGTTTTAGTCTGAAATCAAATCGAAGTGTCAGCCCAGCTTTCTTACAGACATAAAGTCACCTTGTTTCTGCTCTTTCACTCTCACAGAACTGCCCTGAGTTATTGACACGCAAGAGAACAAACATGCTGTTGACAGCACAAAAACCACACAAGGAATTTATAAACACACAGCGGTTACTGCTAATGTGACCACACAGTTATTTAATAACTTTACCTGGCGGGACAGCCTGGGCAAATCCCCCATACTGAGGAGGTGGGATCCTGGGAGGTAACTGCGGGATGCCAATCTGCTGGCGGTTGAGCGGAGGAGGGTATGACATCCTGAAATATACAGGAACCTGTGGACAAGAGGTTGGATAACTATGACCTGGATGACTGAGAATCTTCATAGACGACAAGAGAGGATGTTTAACTAAAGACGAAGGAAACATTGCTGACGTCTTTTAGGGTTGAGCTGGGTAACGTTAAAGTGAATTTAATCCTACTATTACATTTTTAACATGGAAAGCGCCAGAGACTGCAAACGTTGTAAACTAAACAGGTGGGACACCCGAAATCTCAAAGTGGACGTCCTCCACGTTTAACGTTAACTAGCTAATTAGCTCAAGCTAGCTAACACATACTGTGGCCTTGCTAGTTCACATTAGCTGCAGCGGTCATGTGCGGATTCACTCACCTGTAGTCACGTTTAAAAATAAAACCAGCGTCTAATAATACCGTGGGTTATCAAAATAAAAGCCCATTAAATACGGTACACGGGGAAAAGTAACGCTAAATTAGCGTTAAAATTGTCACCGGTGCGCTACAAGAACCCCTTTGGATACAAATAACTGGGACCTATTCTTTTCGAAATGGATCATGGGATACCGTAGCTCTGGGTTAGCCTTTGCCCTAAATATTGTCTCTCAGGCGGGCACTCACGCCTGATATAGGGCACATTTTGCCCTCACTTTGCCTCCTAGGTACATCTTCAGAAAGATCACACAGAAATACTTTATTGAATTAGTTACAAATTGCTCACTTGCATAATAATAATAGAAAGTAGAATATATTCAAATATAAATGTAATATATAGTTGACATGGAACGGATAGAAATCTAAAACATAAATATAAGGAGTGTGGTTGTGTACAGTAAAGTGTAATGAGTAGCGGTAGTGAATTGAATAAAATATTAATAATAAGGGGGTCTACAGGTACGGTTGACATGGAATGGATACAATCCATGAAAACTACAGCATTAGGACGGAGTAACTAGAGTATTGAAGCAGAGAATATTGCACATTATTATTAAAACAGATAATATTGCACAATGTGTCAGGTGTGTTAGACATTCTGATGGAGGAAATAAAGAGTTTGATGGCCACAGGCAGGATTAACTTTTAGGAGGGATGAGTCTTGTGTTTCACCAGCACGTCATGGAGTGGGTGGGAGCCATTGTCCAAAACATGTAGCTTCGACGTGCTTCAGCTTGATCTCCCACCACATACTGGAAATGCGGCCTCCTTTAACAGGCAGTTCTTTGTCCTGTTTGTGACTTGCTCATAACAGGAGTTAAGGGCAAATTAAAATTACCATTGGGACAAGGTGAACTATATTTCCCGAGGGACTTCTAAAGTCTAATCTGCTTTTCTGTATCCTTAATACTTTTTCTATCACAATAAAACATATTGTTATAAAATACTTGCAATAGGGTATTTACGGATTCATTCAGATCAATAAAATTGTCTAAGAATTCAACAAGGCTTATTATATTCACATAATTTCCCTTAAAAAAAACCTGCAACATGAACTCAAACAAGCACAAAAGTACTTTAGAACACAGAATAATTTGGCAGATGCTTTTATCCAAAGTGACATACCATATGGTTTTTGTCCCCCATTTAAATGTGTCCATTTATTACAATAAGGTATGAAATTCAGCTTGCAGAGACTAATATTTGACCAGTGCTGAAACGGTATTGGAATCTAAAAAATGATGAATGACATTTATCACTGATTTCTGACATTTTATATATTATTAACTGAATCAATGGAAAAAATAATGGACATATAAATTGAGAATGAAAATAATCATTAGTTGTAGCACTGCATTAAACATCATGTCTGGTTTTATTTAGTCTAAGTCACCTTGTTTTTGCATTGTACAGCAGTACAGACTTCAAAACAGTCCCATTAATATAGTTTTCAAAATATTTTAGACCAAAATTTCAATCATAGTGTAATAATTAAAAATAATGGCACAATATGCCTTGGAAATGGTAATTAGTTCTAGAAAGAGGGGTTTGTAAATTCATGCAAAAACGCGGCAATAGTGTTTTAGCCATCTGAAGTATTTGAATGAGTAGCCTAGATGTTGTTGCATGTTAGTTGACAGTCTGTCACGGAAAACTAACTTCCACTGTTTTAACACCAGAATGCAACACCTAACATAGGCCTACTTTATCAATCAAAAAGTGTAGGATCTTGGTTAGACTAAATCCGTAACGAGGGCGACTTCCTGGGGAAAGGTTTTCCCTGATAGGCTAAATTCAGGGCATAAAATCCTAAACCATGCTAAAATTCTTATAATTTGCATTTTCAAACCGCTTGATGGCGCCAAAAGCTTTTCTTTATTTTGTACCGAGGGAGCTCTTCCTTACCGCCCCATTGCGTACATACCACAGGCCGGTTCATACGTGATTTTTCTAGCCGTTGGCTACGTCACACCCCGTTATTATAGTCTGATTAAGTCAGTTCACTGTCGCTCGATGTTCTGTTCTTTTAAAGTTTGTTAAACATCTATTTTATTCCATGTTAGTTTAGTCTTTGCATTATAAACAACGTATCTGTTTCTCTGTTTTAGACATTCACATGTGTGTTTTTATTGTGTCTACTGTGCATATTTTTGCAAGAACACTATGTAGGCTATATATTGTTTTATGAATAAAAAAGTATTACATTTAATTGCTTTTGACTACTTTTTAAAATTTGTAATGAATATTTTCAACTTTTAACCATTTTCAAAAGACAGCTTGAGAGGAAATTTAACTGGTAGACCAGCGCTGCAAAGACAAAACATGCAAAGCAACAAAATAAATATTGGCCATATTTAACATATAGCCTTTTTGCAGACAATATTCAGATGTAACCCCCTATGTAATCATGAAAATTTTCATAAGGCCTAACAGTAATTTATTTACACATTTTTCCTTTATTTTGTAATGAAATTACAATTACATGTAACTAGTTACTCCCCAATACTGATCATGACTTTATAGACATTATATACTTAAGATGGATGTGGTTTTTTCATCATTGCCTACCATAGCTACAACAGACACTGAAGTCAGCAGTGGTAGGCCTAATAAAGTAGTTTACATTTAGGCAACTAGCTACTGCACACTAAATGTAGACCTATCTGCTATAGTTAGAAGTTATTTTGCAGATTAAGATTACATACAAAACATATGAGATTATAAACATATTACACTGTTATAATCGACCCAACAGTTTCTAAAGTGATTCAAATTAGCTTTACATGGACCAGATAAACAGCAAAGCCCTGCTTAGCCTAGTGCTTCAGTAGACTACTAATAGTCCAGTGTATAAATAAAACACAAACATGTTTTAGTGTTGATTCTTTAAGTAGACCTACATATAGCTGATAATACGTCAATACCCTACTTTTAATTAAGATTTTGAATGGAAAACTTTTACTTGTAATGGAGTGGGCCTTTGTTTTTACAGTGTGTTAGCCTATAACAACTACTTTTTTAACAGCTGCTTCTTGCATTAAGACTACTGATACCGAGAACCCATGACAGACAAACATTAGATAATACAGGCTATGTGTTTTCTTGTTGACCCGATATCTGATGCCTGTTTTTTTGCCAGAAATATGGGACACGGGAGGACAAACATCCAGGTCAAATAGCCAAGTGTAAACAGCAACAATCCAGCTTGGTTGCGTCTCTGGAAATTTCCATGTAACCTATAACGCTTCACAACAAACATTGCATCATGGCACTTGGCCAACTCCAGCTCCGATACCAGGCCAGCAGAGCGAACCCACTTGTTTTGCCATTTCCTATTGGCTACTCCGAAGGTGTGTCGTTCAACTTGACGTCAGACACCTTACCCTGCTACCGGTAATATTTACGGTAAAGTTAACGCGTTATAGCATTCACGCTTAGCATCATTGCTCATTTCGACATACTCAAAGAAACATTTTGTTTCTATGAATACATTAGGGTGAGCTAACCACGCGATCTTTGTCATCCTGTTCACCAGCTCATGAATATTAAGTAGATGGTGGAGCCATAAAGCCTCCCCTAACAGCAGCGCGGCCACATACTGCCTGGCGCAACTTCTCACAGAGCTTCAGTAGTACTTTTGGTTTTCAAAGGCGGCGGTTTGATTTGGACTGAGTCAGTTTAAATTTCAGAAAAGAAACATGGCTTTGCGAGGACCTCTATTCCGTCTTCTCCGGACTCAACTCAGCCACACTTGCCAGCAAAGCAGAGCTCAATCCGTGGCTGTGCTGGGCGCCCCGTTTTCAAGAGGACAGGTAGGCTTTTTTTTGTGTGAACGCGACTCTTCTTTTCACGTCAAGGGCAACATCTTAACATCTTCAGCACTGACTTAACTTTATCCTTTGTCTTTATTTTCTGACAGAAAAGAAGAGGAGTGGAACACGGCCCTAAAGTAATCAGAGATGCGGGACTCCTCGACAGGCTCTCCGGTTTGGGTAGGGATAATTAGTAGAGCAGTCGGTGCCGCTGCATTATGTAACAGTGAATGGGTGTAGCTAACATGCAGGCTCGCCTGGCAGCAAAACAGCTTTGACTTATCTCCAGTTATCAGCCTGCCTCTTACATCACCGGGAGACCGAAAATATAAACATCCGATTTCCTTGGAGAGGTTATTTCAGAACATCAGAACAAAGTGGTCCTTGTGTCTTAACAAACGCTCACAGACATTTCTAGGATTATCATAGTTATAGGCCTACAACAGGGGATTTTGTTTTCTTCTTTCGGGTAGCCACATGTATGGCTGTTTAGTCAGTCTTCTTCCTCGGCACATGCTCGGAGGGGTGCAGGAAATGGATGGTTAATTTATTTCCACTCTGTCGTCACTGCAGACAGACTCAGCCTCATTGTCACAAACTCTTTTTTTTCGTTCCTTTCAATGGAGACGCCTACAGTCTGCAGGGGGACAGGGAGTGCCGCTTCAAAGATGAAAGTCTACACCACAGGCGGAAAGAATCCCATATTTATTTTAGCTCTCACGTCAATGAGGTTGTATTTTGTTTGACGTCTCAAGCTTGCATAACAATGCATATGCTATGAGACAGTCGCAACAGGAATAATGTAAAAATAGCTCGCTTTAAAAATACCACTTAGTAGGCTATGATATGGTCACTATAAAGTCAGCATACTTAAAGTCTATATGTGGTCCAGACACAGATAAGTCTTGTTTAAATATACCAAGGACACACTGAAGATTAATGTGGTGCCATAAAATACCATTTGGTATAATCAAGTAAGAAGGGCTTTACACTAATGATTTAATGTAATTATTATTATTTAACCTGTTTAATATTTGATTAAGATAATGACACATGGCCATGACAAGTTAGCGCAAAGTGATGTCAAAACATTAATCATAATACAACTAGTAGTCTACTGTAGGCAGGATTATTTTACAAACACAAAATAATTATACAAACAGAAAAAGACAATAATGTAACCTATGAAGAGGTCACTGGATGGCTTACCATGAGTCTCAAGCTAGCGGTGCCTGTTGTTTTATAAATGTACTATCATTGACATGAGTATATGATCATATGAACTCACTGCTGAGTTCCACAGACTGTTGGTCCTATTTTTGGTGATAATGGCAGCTTTATGCTATAAAGTTTTCCCACAATGGATAATCTAGGTATGTTAGTGTCAGTAGTATCTGGTTTTGTGTGGTAGCCAATCAAACAGACCCAGAGAGATGCAGAATTTGCCAGGTAATCCTAGCATGTCTGGTCCCAGACATCTGCTCATCAGCTGTAAACATCAAATGTTGTGCAAGAGAAACAGCCCTCCCCATCCTCACACAGGAGTAGATCTACAGATGGGACATAATTTTATCTTCTGCAGCTAACATACTTTTATTCTTCTGACAGAAGACACAGTTATTAATGCATGCAGTAAAGAACAGAGGGAGTTGTATGCTGTACAGATTGTAAAGCCACTTGAGGCTAACTGTTTTGTGATAGGCCTACTAGGTTATATATAGTAAATACAGTTGACATTATATTTTACATTTATTTTTCTGCAGTGTATTGCAATCAAATTGTAGCAAATTTTCTCTATGATAAAAGAACCTCATCTGTTAAAATATATTTACAGTTATGTTCCTCACATTTAAACTTGGTCCAGAATACAGTAAACGGAACACAAATTGAAAATTTGTTCAAAATCAAATTTGTCATTTGTTAAGGAAAGACATTTTTAGTTTATCCTAGTATATTTTGAAAGTAGCTTAAGAATGATTCAGAAACTAAGATCTATGCCAGCTATATTTTTAACCGCAGGAAACCTAGATTTATGGTCATTCATGTAGAACCTATACTCTTGCGTTTCACAGTAAACAGAAGCAGAACTTGCAGTCTGTTGCTGCTATAACCGACTTTCTGAATTGTCCTGCAACAGATGCTCACGATTGCACTAAGACAAGTGCTATTCCTGTCCTGTCTACGAATGGTAATGAACCACACTGGTTCCCCTAAGATCAGCAGAGTAACAGTACACTGCCATCAAGGCTCACATTACCAGATGATCCCCCAATATGGTAGATCACATCACTTGTTTACTTCGCATTCTGTGTTCTCAACTAAGTGGAAATATCCCAGTCTTTACTTCCGCAGCCACCTAGCATAGCTTGGCCTGCAGTGACTGCAACCTGAGCTGACGTGGGAAATGGACAGTGACAAACGGGAATCTAACGTCACTCCATTCCAAGCCAAGTCAACTGCACTTACTAAACAGGAATAAATATAATTTTAAAGTGTTTTACACCTGGGACTGACTGGACTTATGTTTATCATCATGACGCTCTGGTAGCTCTGAGTAACAGGAGTTCCAGGTCCTGCTCACCTGAAAAGAGTATACAGGTCTTTATTTTCCAGATTATTTCCATTCATACGCATCTCCTGCATCCCGCATAGCATTATTAAGTTTCCTAAAACACAGATTCAACTGGGGAAAATGTAATTGTGACATGATGTGCTTAAAATCACCAACCACATCCCTTGCTCGTGAAGATAACTGTAATTGTACAACATTTAGTGACACTTTTCTACTTTTAATGCACTACCTTTCAGTTCCTTTTCTCTTTCTCCCGTGCTGTCCATTTTTTCTCCACACTGCTCAGCCATAAGCACTCCATTCACTGACTGAACTTTATATTGATGTGTACGTACATGCGCGTACAGACAGACAGAAACTATACTGTAAGGTTAAAAGCAGACAGGGAGGGAGAGGCTGACAGACTACAGTTCTGAGGGACTGTAACTGCCCTGACTATTTGAATGATTAGGCATTTTTAACACTCCAAGCCAATCAGCTTCCAGTGCTCCCTATGGCCGCTCCCCTGGCATTGAATGACTCAGCCTCCAAGGCAGACAGATGCATGTTAAGTCATGCTATGGAAGCTACAGGTTATGCAGGCTTTTCAACTGAAACTCTTGCAAGCACAAATGTTTCTTCAAAACAGACAACAGGGCAGTGTCCCAATGATTATAAAGATTGTCTAGAACCAACAGATTGCAGGTTCTATGCAAAAGTCCATCAACAGTCCTGGTGTAATACTCCGAACCCTTGCTCAATCAGTCACTCTAAACTTCACCAGCGACTCATCTAAGTGCCTTAAAAGTGCATTAAGGGCTTGAATTGATCAGCAGCATTTTGTTGTTGTGTTCCTCAGACTACTCTGTCCACGACTTTGGCGACCTCAACTTCCACCACCTGGAGAAGGATGAACCATACATGAATGTACAGTCCCCTCGCACTGTGGGTGCAGCAAATAAGATACTGGCTGGTGCAGTGAGCAGAGCGGTTGGTGCTGGTCACACCCTTGTCATGCTGGGTGGTGATCACAGGTAAATGATCAGATAATATCAAATGTAAAGACTAAAAATTGTTATATACAGTATGTGAACAGCACCTGCCCCGAAACCATGCAGTACAATTAGTACAGCATTTAGGTGTTCGAAGGCTACTGGATTTAATTTCCCCATATGTGTTAGTGATAGGACTCTTGCAAGGATACACTATAAACACAAGTGTCCAGTGTCAATCAAGTCCAGTTGCCCTTGACTTTAACCTTCTTTGGCTAACTATGACCTGGATGACTGAGAACCTTCACAGACAACTATAAACACCAGATATTTATAAGACTATCCTTCTCCTTTCACAGCCTTGCTGTTGGATCCGTGGGAGGCCATGCCCAGCAGTGTCCTGACCTGTGTCTCATCTGGGTTGATGCTCATGCAGATGTAAATACGCCCATGACTTCTCCGTCAGGAAACCTCCACGGCCAGCCTGTGGCATTCATGCTCAAAGAGCTGAAAGACAAGGTGAGGAGAAATATTAGACGTCATCCTTGTATTTCAGTGTACATAGAACTTGACAGTATTTTAGCAAGGAACGCAAGTCAATACAAGCAACTAACATTTTAATATGCACTGACATCTGAATCATATAATTTGACTTTAATGTTTTGATGAAGGTGCAGTGTGATCAACTTCATCAGTTTTAATCTCACTTTATTGATTCAGAAGCTAAACTTTATAGATTATCAGCTGATCAAGGGACCCAATTTCAACAACCAGTGAATACTGCAACACTAACAGAACTTCCTACTGGTGGATGGAGCAAGACACCCAGACTGACAGAATAAGAAAAAGTCTCTCAAACTGATTTAATGACTAATAAAATCTGTATTTTTATGAAATGCTACTGTGGCCTGTTTGCCTTACAGCTGTAATATGAAGGAAGAAATAAACAAAAACACATATTGGACTCACATTATCAGACTCTTCTCTGATCAGAACACGATCAGAACTTTTAAATGGGCTCTGTGACCTTCCAACAAGAAATGTTGACAGTCATATCAAACACCTATTTAGCTATAAGCCTGTTTATTAAGTTCAGCTGCAATTTTTCTGTCCCTGCATACATATACACTCCATATTACATTATCTCTGTACGTTTACAACAGATGCCAGATATCCCAGGGTTCTCCTGGATGAAGCCATTCCTCTGCTCGAGGGACCTGGTATACATTGGGCTGCGGGACGTTGACCCCGGAGAGCAGTAAGCACATACTATCACTTTTGAAACTTTCACTTTCATTTGGCTGATGTGAACTTAATTTTCCAACACTGAAAATGGTTCCTTATGTTTTTGATTTTGTTTAATACAGCCACATCTTGAAGGACCTGGGTATCCAGTACTTCACCATGAGGGATATTGACAGACTGGGCATTCAAAGGGTCATGGAAGTCACTCTTGACCATCTCCTGGCAAGGTATCTCTTACATATGTTACTGTTTAATATTTTTAACATGATTGCATGATTATTTTTTAAGTTTAATTTACCTAATGGTTACTAAAAATAAATTTTGGGGTTTTTTTGTTTGATAAAACCAAATGATTGCCCATATCTAAGTTGAAGTGAACCTTAAATTAGCACTTTCTCACCTTCTTGAACAGAAAACAGCGACCGATCCACTTGAGCTTTGACATTGATGCATTCGACCCATCTCTGGCTCCAGCCACAGGAACGCCAGTGAACGGAGGTTTGACCTACAGGGAGGGAATCTACATCACAGAGGAAATCCACAACACAGGTACAGATGACTACAAATATGGTCGTGACATCCTATGTAGATAGCTTCATGCTCCTTTAATAGAAACCAGTTTTGTCAGTCCTTAAAGGGCCTTGATTGTCAGGTTTCTAACAAGTGTGTTGATGTGCAGGTCTGCTGTCAGCAATGGATCTGGTAGAAGTTAACCCTGTGCTGGGTGCCAACCGTGAAGCCATGGAGGCCACTGCCTCTTTAGCGGTCGACGTCATCGCGTCTTCTCTGGGACAGACAAGAGAAGGCGCTCATGTGTCCATTGATGAGATTCCCCCTGTGAAGGACGACACAGAGCAGCTGCGCCTCTGAGAGTATGAAGCAAAGCAAAGGACTTGCATCCCTGAGTATTCCGCAACAAAGACTAAAACTAACAGCACCTGAAGTTCTTGTTCTCATCTCTTTGCTGTTCAGTGTTGAATGATGAAAACAAAATTATGTCTGGGTTCATAAAAATATAAGATTTGAGGAGAAACGTTCATATTAATAATGGTGACAATAGCCTGTGACATAATTTTGAAACCACTACACTTGTTGATGCAAATACTATTCTTTTGAGCAGCAAAACTAACTGATTCTGCTCCTGTGTGTAATAAGTTGTGGTAAGTGTTAGACGACACATCTGCCACATATTTATTATTTTTTTGATTTATTTGTATGGCTTTAAAGAGAATGAACCTGCCACAGAGGTATGATTAAAAAGTTTGACTTAGTTTGAAATCCACAGTCTGATGTGACTGAGTCTCTCAAAACTGTTGTGGCTGTGCCATTTAGTAAAAACTAGTAATGAAGTGTGCACTTTTGGACCAGCTGTAGTTACTGCATTTTCTTTCTTACTTTTGTATTTCACAATGAACCTACTAGTACATGTACTATTACTGTGTATAAATATTTACTGACTACATCCGTATCAATTGGCTTGAAAACTGCAAAAGCTGATCTAATGCTTGGTCTGTGTTTGACTTGATGTGGCCACTAAATGATTACTGCCCTTGTAACAAAGAGTTTATATTTGAGTCTTCCATAAATGTGATTACATTTTTTGTTCATGTGTACAGGTGTCTTATTTCCTCCTGAGTTTATTTTATTCTAACTAAACGGTTTCATTTCTACTTTAGAGATCCACTATTTTAAAAAGACTATAGAGTCTACATAAAATTTTGACCTGATGGTGGCACAAGATAAAAAAAAAAACAGATCAAACACATTACAAGGGAACATGAATGTCTGTACCAAATGTCATGGCAATTCATCCAATAGCTGCTGTGACATTTCACTATGAAAAATCAAAAATGTGAATCACGTTGTGGTGCTAGAGGAACATTTTTATCCTCTGGGAACAATGAATGTCCGTACAAAATTTGGTGCCAATCCATCAGCAGATGTTGAAATATTAATAAGTGAAAATTTTGACCTGCTGAAGATGCTAGCAGAAAGAGATTAATTGGGATTCATCCTGGGGACCATGAATGCCTGTGCAAAATCAATTCAATAGTTACGCTGATAGCATGGCCGAAAGATTATGCAGGTACTTGAAAGAAATATGCCAATGTTTGTACCTATATATAAATTGTTATCAGTACTGCTGGCATCATAGTTAGATTAATGATTAGTTGTATTTATAAAATATATCAATTAAATGGGGTCATACAACCTAGTATTTACCTTTAGTAAAATGCACACATTAAAAAGCTTTATTGTTTAGTTTTTTAAGGGAATGTAAAGGCAAATCTAATACTTTCTTCTACCGCAACTTTCCACCTGATCCACACAGGTAGGTCACCCGACATGTTTTTGTACTTAGCATTACATCAGGATGGTATGATATCTATGTGAAAGAAAAACATTCACTTCAACTTCAAAAACACAGCACTAAAAATAACCTTATCACCTATTACTTGAGAATTTATTACATAGTAACAGATGCTCTTTACCCATCACTAGTGGCGTCAGCTCTACAGCAGATGTTTTTTTTAACTTTGTTCTGTTCACAATATCAGAATCAATTCACACTAAGGTTAATGATTAGCTTTAATTATGTGTAGATAAGAAATGAAAATAAACTATTTCAAACAGTGATTTCTGTATTATACAGTGATTAGACAACTTTACTAACTGTTAAGAACATTGGATGTATTAAGAGTCTCCACTCATTTTCCAATTCACACCTCTGACTGACAAATTTGGCCTCAGGTCTCAGTAATCAGAATTATTACAGAGCTTAATACAACCATCTGGATACTGGACATGACAACACAACAAAATAGATTCAACTGGTGCCATTTTGTCACAATCTGAGATTTAATAAACCTCCCATCAGTGACACTTAACAAGTAGTGTCACCAGAGAATCTACACAATGTAGGAGAAAGTAGATCATACTCAGGATTGTATAAATCCTTACAGAGAATCATCTCTGGGGTCTGTAACAGTGCAAACCTTAGTTCACAGTTTATCCATGGCATTTCTGTAGGTTTGGTCCATAAACAGGTTCAACATTCTTGGCAAATGAACTTCACCTGCCCATGGACAGAATCCCGTCTTGGTAAATGTTCACTTTAAGACTGAACCATCGCATTGTCCTCATTTGCACTCACAGAAACAGTTTACTGAATACAGCAGAAGAACATTATTGCTGCAGAATAGTCAGTGGAGACAGATATAGAGAGTCTGTGTTTGCCCTGGATCTGGAGCTTAGAATGTTTTCAGATTTCATAGTTTTTCATTTTCGGAAGAACTTCAGATAAATCACAGCACCTAGAATGGCCAGCTCCATTAAAATAATGACACCTAACAGCAACTTGTTCGTCACCAGCCTACAAGACAAAAAAGAAGAAAGTCAACAATGTTTTGCTGTTCGTTGTTTAACAAGCACTTACAGAGACATCAATCATATTCCATGATAATTTGAATTGGAGGACTGCCAAGAGAAAACAGTTACTTCCAATAAGAAGATAAGATAATTACCTAAATGCATTTTAAACACTCAGAGTGATGCTATTTGAAATGAATCACCAGTAGAGCTCCAACAATTAGTTCATTAATCGATTAGTTGATCGACAGAAAATGAATTGGTAACTACTTTGATAAGTCGAATGATTTAGTTGTTTTTAAAAGGTTTCCTGGTTCCAGCTTCTCAGATGTGGGGACTGTATGCTTTTCTTTGTCATTCACGATTGTAAATTGAACTTCTTAGGGTTTTGGATTGTTGGTCGAATAAAACAAGACATTTCAAGACACCCTTTGGGGCTGTAAGAAATTATACTAGGTATATTTCAACATATTGTGACATTTTATAAATTACAACAATTCATCAGTTAATTGAGATAATTATTACTTAATTATTAAACAAAAATAACTGTTAGTTGCAGCTCTAATCACTAGTGTGTTAATTCTGAAACAAATTAATTTGAAGAATTATTCACCAAATCCATGTTTTAGTGTGGTCAATGTGCACCATTTTGTCTTGTTGATTTACAACAATACAATCTAGTATATTATAAAAGCTACAGAAACAACACCTCACATTCAGGGAAAGAACAAAGAATTCAAGAAACATACATTTAGCAATCAATCATTAATGCATCGATAACAAAGACCAATATCAATAAAATGTATAACCTCTTCAGGTGTAGCACTTACCGCCGTGCCATGGCACGAAGAATTTTTCTGCTTCGACTGAGGTTTTCTCCAGTGTTCACCAACTACAAAATAAACAAAAGACAGAATGGATTAAACACAAAGCCATTTTCTGACAACAACAAATAGTGTTTGTAGTTCAAATAAAATCAAAGTAATATAAATCCTATTGACCCAAACTTGAGCTGTCCCACATGTTGTTGCCCCTAAACTAAGTATAACTGCTGGACTGCTTTCAGAAATTCAATAAAATATTAGAAACTCAATCATGTGACTAAAATAACGAACATATAGTTCCTACCATACACAGATTAAAACAAATGCATCATCACAATCTCATTCTTCCATACAGTATCATATTAATGATAATTCAAAGCGCACTCTGTTTCTGGTGCGGTCCAGCTGTTCCCTCTGCTCTCCCAGCTCTTCGATGATATCTGTGCCGATGTGCTCTGTCTCATTGGCGATGCGCTGACTTCGTTCAATACTCTGGCTGGCATTGTTCAGAGACTCTGTGCCCTGGAGTAGCAAAGTTCTCTGGGACTGCAGGTGTGTCTGCATGGATGGGCAAAATAACAGAGCCAACCAGGGTAAATAACACTACTGTGACAAGAGTAAGAAAAACATTTACATGGAGGGGAGGAATCCATTCTCAGATGCTCTTACTATCTTAGATATGAATTTGTTTTGTTGAATTAATTCCAGGGGTTCTTTTGAAGTGAAATATCCTCCTTAGTTTTTGTAAAATTCAGCAAATATGTTTCACTAGCTCTCCTTTTGATGTGTGCTCTGAAATAAAATCCAGTTTTCCTAATCAGCCCTAGCTCTGTAAATGGAAAACAAATAAAGTGGTGTGGACCTTGCCACACAACATTGTTCCAGCCAATCATTAACTGGTGGTGTTAGTGATCGTGCACAGGAGCAGAGGTAGAGAGAGTTCTGTACACCGGCACATTCAAACGTGCTGGACTCCAGGCACTGTGAAGAAGGGGAGATGGTTGGGAAACAGCCAAAGAGGAAAAGGTCTGAAGAGTATAAACACAGATTAAAGTGATATTACCAGGCGAGGACGGAGGCACTTCTGAGGGAGCACTCAAGGGAGAGAGGAGTTTTTGTTTGGCAGTTGTGTTCAAATGTCAATAGTCCTTCAGCAGAATCAGTTACTCTCCCATTAAGTTTCATTCTTTCAATTTGTGAGATTGACAACAAAATCTGACATTCTCCACTGATATTTTAGATAGCTGAAACATTTCCATGCTTTTACATTTCCTTCCAATTGCACTGGAAATGTCTTTGTCAGTTGTCACATTGTTTCCCAAAAAAAGAAATACAAATGACTTACCCTATAGCTGCATTTTAAGGTGTTCATAAAGTATTAATATGGCAAGCAATCACACAGGCATGTAAGGGGTCTTGGTTCTGTTAATGACTCTCATTATGAGATGACACCATGTTCAAACAGCTGTCCCGAGCCCCACACTCACACTTTGTTGGTTTTGTGATGCATAGATGCCATGATGACTTCCTTCCACTGGCTGGAAAGAAGAACCAAAGCCAGGAGCAGTGTTTTTCATGTCTCTCTGAAGCTTGCCCAGATCTCGGCGGTACAGGCGCAGCTTTGTACCCATAGCATTTCGGTGGGAGGTAGGGGCACCACGAAGCTCATCTTCCATTCCTTGTAACTGGAGACAGGTAAGAAAACTGAATTTTGTAATTTCAGAGAAAAAGTACGATCTTTCTGTGTAAAGTGCTCGCGAACACATTAACGGAGACATACCCATGCAGAGTACACTGACGGAATAGCTACTGAGTTTGGTAATGTTATGATGATTTCTTGATGTACAAAACTTAAACTGTCAAATCATGTTCATGGTATTTCCAAAGAGATGAATGGGAACAAGGACAGAATGCAGAGGTAATCACATCTTAATCTTCTTTTAATTCCTTGATTGCAAAAGCAAATTGGGCCAGCCTACTAGTTCTGATACCAGCGGTAAAAAGTACATGCTGTACATTTTACTATTTTATACTTCTACTCCACAACATTTAAGGGGGAACACACATTATTTTATAGCTATTATTTATATATCCTTTGCAGAATGTTTAACGTATAAAACATTTTTCTTTAGAAAAGATGATGCATTGTTGAAAATTTAACTACCGACAGCATATAAAGTAGTAATATATTCCACAGTGTTAATCTGGCTCCTGAAACTGTTACAGAGATGTGATGATTCAAATTTATGTTTAACTATTTAACTCATCAACACCACAAGCCTTAAAAATTACAATAAAGTTGGATCAACACCTGTGTAACATTTTAACCATGAACCATAAAAGTGGGATTTATTGCTGTATATCAATTTTTATGTAATAAACTGGCAGCTGAGTGTACAGGACAATGAAAACGCAGCATATTATAAAATGTACTCTTGATACTTTTTTTTTTTTAAATTGAGGTATTGCTACTTGGGTGGTGATGGTGCAGTGGATAAAACGGCAGAGACCCGGGTTCAATTCCCCACTGCAACACATCTACCATTGTGTCCCTGAGCAAGACACTTAACCCCTAGTTGCTCCAGAGGCGTGCTGACATAATTAGCAATTGTAAGTCGCTTTGGATAAGAGCGTCAGCTAAGTGAATAAATGTAAATGCTACTTCTCCCAGGGTATTTTACATAAACAAACAAAGCTGTTTACTGTGTTTTTTTCACAAGTGAGTAAAAACAGGCCAATTTTGTTTAAATCCGCTTGCTGCAATAATGTTAAATACTACAAATAGATTTTATTAAAGTTCATGGCTGGTAGATAACACTTCCAACACAGAGAAACAGGAGAGCAGCTCACCACTTCCTCAGCCTCCCCCTGCCTCTCATCGAAGGTCCTCACCAACCTCTTCCTCTCCTCTGCAGATACAACACAAGTTCCCGTTTTACACTGTTTGTTACTTTGGTTACACAGTTTTGTAAACATGTAAAAGTGTTTACCTCCGTGGCTTTTCAGGACTCTCTCTGGCATTAGCTTGAGCTCATCATACAGTGATCTGTAGATTTCGTGTAACTTCTCAAATTCCTCCGACGACATTTTGTATTGACTGTAACGTCAGCTCAGCTGCCTTTCCTTGAGAAAGTACTTTGTCTTTTTGCCGTAAAAACACTAATCACAGTCAAGACTGTGAGTTAATCTACTAGGTTTCGCTTTGAAAATAATCACATCCCCGAGACTTTTCCGCATAATAAAGGTCCTCGTGATCCAGTGCCTAAAAAGATCCAGAGCAAAAATCAAACATGATATTTTTTTTTTTATTAATTAATAACACAGGCTAAATGTTACATTCTCCATAGGAGTACAACTCACGAAAATAATGTTAAATCTGGGTGAAAACGACTTAAAAAGCCCCCATAGCGATTTTATTCAGGCAGTTCACAGACAGCTATCACGCTGCCTTCTGGGAAATGAAGTTTTAGTCAGTACTATTTCTTTACGCTATTACCGAGACTGCTCAGAAAGTTGTAGAGCATCTTTGCTATTACTGCAATTACTAACACTTACTAAACAGCTACAAAAATTTATTTTAATTATTTAATTTGTTTAGTTTGCCTATTAATTTGTGTAAACTAGATTTGTTTACCCATTTAATTAATTTTTTTACAACGGTATATAGGCTTTTTTTAAATTTTATTTCATGGTTATTGAAGCTTTACTCTTGTTTTTGTTTTGTTTTCCCTTGGGTGTTTGTATTGTTCTTGACAGTGATGAATAGTTATTGTATCTAAATCTCTTGTATCATAAGGTAAAATAAGGTTCCTGGAGGTGGAAATTAAGTTATTATAGAAACATGAAATGTACTTGAATTAATCAGTCTGACAAGGTAATCTAATATTGTTTATATGCTGTTTACCTGGGATAACATGTTGTGTCTTGCCATACTAAAATAAAAACACATTTAAAGTGAAGGACTAAATTTAATGTAAATTTATAAAGCTGAATGGCTAATCCTTGGTTCTCCTCTGGCCATGGCTGCAAAAACTACAATCCCATGATTCCCTTCGCGGTGCTCTGCTCTGCACCCCTTTTTGCTTTGACATCAGCTGTTCTGCCTACAGAGCTACGGAGCAGTGGGATCCTGCTGGAGGGGATAGAAAAGCGAACATTCGTGGTATGATGTTGCTTTTATTGATTGTCGCGGGCCTCGGAGTGGTGACGTTACTTGTGATTTTATTTGCACCACATATAAGGTAAGCAGCAATTAATACCCTCATTCATTCTCATATAAATGCAGTGTTTAACACATCACGGGTGGGTTGTTACTTGGTTGACAGGGCATTACATTGCACTGATGCAGTTATTACGATGAGGTTCATTTACATTATAAAGAACAGGCTGCTTTAACCTAACTGATAGTCATTTTTAATGTGTTTTTTTCTCTCCATCAAATATTATTTCACACGACGCAGACTGATTTTCTAAGCAGAAAATCAATGCTACAGAATGATGGAGCTATGGGAGTTATTGCACACTGATGAACCGGGTGTCTTCCATCTGAGCTGCTCGGGCCTATCACGAGGCTGAGCGTGGGAGGAGTTATATCTGTATGCATTACTCCAACAGAGCTATTGGTTATGAGGCGGCACTGCTCAGTGGTGTGGTGTAGCCTACTGTTCCTTATCCAAGTTTTTCTATGAATAATTAAGCCAGGTTGTCCATATGTCTTATCCAAATGAGAACAGAAGTTCTAGTGACTGCAGAATAGGGCTACAAGTCACTCAAGAGGAGCTGTCTGCTGTACCTGTTTCTAGTGTTAATCAGTGGTCATTGTGAATTAATAGAAAATATGCAGCAGGAGGAGTGTGCAAGTCCGCAGCTGATCTAAATGGGAAGACAGTCCTCATCACTGGAGCCAACACAGGGATTGGGAAGGAGACTGCCCTGGACCTGGCAATGCGAGGTGACTTTTCATCCATAAGCTACCCTTTACAACAAACAACTACAGTCTCCTCTGTAGGGCTGCACAATAAGATTGAAATCTGAACGTTTTAAGAATGTCCCATATCTTAATAATATGCATGGGAAATGTATACAAACCTTAGACAAAACTTTTTATGTGTCAAACAAAAACATAAACAATTACTACTCCTCCACTAATTTGGGCAACAGAGATTTGTAGAGAATGTTGTGATAGGATCACATCTTCACAATGATTCTTCCAGAACTCAATAAAGGATGATACTGTATTATTGCCCAGCCCTAACCTTTTTGACATTATGTGTAAGTAATAAACTTATGAGTTCCACTGCTTCAGTTTCAGGGTCATGGTGTTGCCCACTGTTTTACTCGAATGCAACAGAGCCATCGATAATGTTATTAGTTACTGTGCTTTTTCTGCTATGACAAGTCAAAATGTCTGCTGTGAAAAAACTACTGGATCTTACTAAATGTGTTATATGACTACATCTTACGTTAAAACACATTGTTGGGGACCTACAGATGATTTAATTTTGGTTTCAAAAAACTACATGTAGAACCATTTTGTGTAGTTTTGGTCAACATGCTGCTGTCAGTTAAGACCGCAGTATAAATTAAATATAATCCTAAATGTCAACCAAAGATCCTTAACCTTAATACCAATATTGGAGTTTTGATCTGTGGTTGACCTTGCCACTGACATTACATGCAGGCTTCAAGCACCACAAGGCAACAGAAACACCCTCTACCCTCTCTTCTATGAATTATTGTGGTTTGTGTTTTGTTCATAGTTTAGCTGCTGTTTATTTTTCACATGACAGGGGCTCGAGTGATTATGGCATGTCGAGATGTGGATAAAGGAGAGGAGGCCGCTGCCAGTATACGAGCTGCATATCCCAAAGCGCAAGTGGAGGTTCGAGAGCTCGACCTGGCTGACACCTGCTCTATACGAGCCTTTGCACAGAAATTCCTGAGAGGTAAGCACAGGGTAGCTGTTTGATACTTACATCTACCGACAGAGCCCTGCCTTGTTGTTATTTAACAGCTGCCGTGTTTTTTTTTGTGATGTTCTCTTCTTCAGAAGTCAACCACGTTCATATCCTTATCAACAATGCTGGGGTGATGATGTGCCCCTACACAAAAACAATTGACGGCTTTGAGATGCATATTGGAGTCAATCATTTGGGTAAGAATGAGGAGAAATTTACTTGAATCAATAAAGAAATCAAACCTTAAACAGGACTGAAAACCTGATGGATCAACTGACTGATTCATTTTTTGGATCATTTTGTGCAAAATTATTAATCAGCCTAATCAAGCACAAATGACTGAAGTTACAGCTACTAATACTGACATTTAATTTACTTTATATTAGAGCCCGGCTGATAAATCGGTATGCCGATATTATAGGCTGACATGAGCTAATTACAGATAATATACAGGTATCTGTGTTTATAACAGCCAATAAATGACAATTATAAAATAAATGGTGAGACGGGAAGACAGATGTTATGAGTGTTGTTATTGTTTAGTTTGTCCACCAGAGGACACTCTACATGTCCTTTGCTGGCAACACAAATTAGGAACAAATCCACCTCAAAACACAGCAATCAGCTGACATAATCAGCTGTACTTTTGTTAAAAGAACTCTTTATAACAAAAAAAATGTTTATTTTTTTAATTGCATTATGTCATGTTATATTGGTGATGTCTCTTAACCACACATAAATGTTGGGAATAATGTTTGTTTATGTTATATATTTACATTTAGTCATTTGGCAGACGCTTTTATCCAAAGCGACTTACATTTGAGGAACAACATACAAGTGTCAGCAGAGGATCAAATACAGATCTACAACTGACAATACATACTAGTAAGAGCATCAGTAAATACTAGAGCTCATAGTTCATATCGCATCAATGGGGTAAATACCTTGGGAAGGAAGTAAGAGTTAAAAAAAGTGCAATCAATACAAGATCATTGTAGGGGATAGAAGAAGAAGAGCACAGGATGTGCATGTTGGAGGTTAGGAGTTAGAGGTGTTATAAGAGGAAGTGTTCTCGGAAGAGATGAGTTTTCAAGAGCTTCTTGAAGTTAGAGAGGGACGCCCCTGCTCTGATGGCGTTTCACAGATGAGAATAGCCGGGACTGGGATTGCTTTGTGTGAAGGGATGGCAGAGCCAAGCAGTGTTCGTTGGAGGAGCATAGTGGCCGAGAATGAACGTAAACTTGTATTATGGAGTTTAGGTCGATGGGTGCAGACCCAGTAGTCACTCTGTATGCAAGCATTAGTGACATGATTCTGATTCTGGAGGCCGCGGGGAGCCAGTGGAGGTCACTGAGTAATGGAGTGACATGAGTCCTTTTGGGCTGATCCAAAACCAGACGTGCTGCTGTGTTCTGAACCATTTGTAAGGGTTTCACCGCACAAGCTGGAAGACCTGCTAGGAGGGCATTGCAATAGTCGAGGCGAGAGATAACCATGGCCTGTATCAGAAGCTGGGTGGTGTACTTAGTGAAGTAGGGCCTGATTTTTCTGATGTTGTATAGAGAAAAGCGGCACAACCGAGAGACAGCAGCAACATGGTCTGAAAAGGACAGCTGGTCATCAATCATGACACCCAAGTTTCTCACCACCCTGGTTGGAGTGATGGTTGAGGAGTCAATTTGTAGTTTGATGTTATGGTGGATAGATTGCTTGGCTGGAATGACCAAGAGTTTAGTCTTAGAGAGCTTTAGTTGAAGGTGGTAGGCCTTCATCCATGCAGTTATGTCCGAGAGACAGTCCGTGATCCGCGTTGAGACGGTGGGGTCGTCTGGCGGGAAGGATAGGTAGAGTTACGTATCATCTGCGTAGCAGTGGTAAGAGAAGCCGTGAGAGCGAATGATCGGCCCCATTGAGGTGGTGTAGATTGAGCAGAGAAGGGGCCCTAGCACTGAGCCTTGGGGAACCCCTGTGGAGAGGCAGTGGGAGGAGGATAATTGTCCTTGCCACAAAACATTGTAGGAACGCCCCGAGTGGTAGGATTCAAACCACAAGAGTGCTTTACTTGAGATGCCCATTGCTGAGAGTGCAGATAGGAGGATCCTGTGGTTGACTGTGTCAAAGGCAGCTGATAGGTCAAGCAGGATAAGAAGCTTTAGCTGACCTTAGGGCCTAGACCTTATGTGTTTCTGAAAAGAAGAAGAAAAAAAAAAAAAGGAAAAAAATAGATATTGGCCAATATCAAAATCGGATTCTTAAAAATCCCATATCTGTCGGGCTCTACTCTACATGCTAGAACATACTGAGTTGTAAAAATAATATTCATTTAGCCTGTAGTTGTGGATACACATTTCATAAGCATAATTTGGGGTTTCTT